CCATACTCTGCAAGTTTTTGCCTTAATTCGCTATCTCCTAAACTTTCAACCGACGCCATTTTCAACAAATCATCAGGATTCAACAACTGTAATTCTTTAAATAGTATTCACAGATGAAAGACATCACAGAGAAAAAATAAAACTGAAGGTACTGTAAACTCCTACGAGACTACAGGGCGCAACTTATAAGACAGTCTTCTCAGACTAACCACCGTGAAAACCTCAAATCCTCACAACTATAACCTCTACACGAGCCACATAAGCTCCCCTCAAATTAGATTTAGTTTTGGCATGATAACTAGAAGACAAATTTGTACAAAATGTTTACTTTCCACGGTTTCAATGGCAAAGACGACCAATAAAGCCATCTATGACGTAGCGCTCACAGTATTGTAGGCATGCTGATGAAACAAAATCTATGTACGCACGACAATCAACTCTGTTATTGGAGAGTTACAAACAGCAAAGATTATGTAACAAGATAACCACGAAGAAGTACGTTACTATGGCGAAGACTTTACCTTCTGGCAGGCTCAGAACTTCGTAATTTCAGAGGTTGTGTTCTGCTTGGAGCAATTATAAACGGCATCTTCCGTTTATTTGATAGATCATACGAGAGATACTACATGTGAGTAAAGGTACTATCCCAGGAGCATAAAGCAAGGATACTGTACTTTACCACGGTTTGCAAAGAAAAAGAATACGTACCTTTCACAAAGTACATATTTCTTCTCATCGGCAAGCTTCCATGAAATGTTGGTCAATATCTAATGAACTACACATTCACAATCTTCGCTGTGAGACCTAAGATCTCGCCTAGGTCAAAAATATTTTCTAAAACGTAAACCTGAGCTGTGCGTGTAACCTATTTAATTTAATCTGTGCATGGATGGAGTTGATGTCGAAGGCATAGGAAGGAGTGTAAACAATGTGTTGATAGGGAATATTTTCTCGTTGAACATACAGAACAGAACATACCGGTTTTTCATAATTTATGGCGAGGAACTATGAAAAAAATTTTAGCCAGCTGAATAGATTATGGATTTCTCGGATGGTAACTGGTAAGAAAATGTGCATCAGAGTTTCATTTCACTCAATTTAGTGACAGTATTATGAATGGTATGACTTAATCCCCATATTCATTGAATTCAATATGAAGCATCATATCGAAGGGGGATCTAGTCATCTTGTCGCTAATGACGGCAGAACCAATTACTTCAGAAATTTCCAATTAAGAAATCTCTACAGCTAATAGGATTAGATCATAATTTAAAAACAATTCCCAAATTTGCAGGAAAACATGAAAAACAGAGTAAAGTCAGACCACAACACAGTTTGAGAACAGCATCCAGTATGAAACATAGTTTGTCTTCAATCAAAGAAGAAATGGAATACTGTCTGAAAGTATGTATTATTAAAATCTCAAGAGCTGTCCAACTTGCTTAGTACACTATGTTTGCACATTATGTTGCTATCCTATGAACTCTGGACACTAGTGAAGCCATTAACTTTGGACATCCTCTGCATGTGCCTTATTTCTTAAGATATTCCATGGTGTGATGGTTGAATGCTTTGTATTTAAGAGGATACAGTGTTTAATACTTGGGCTGGATGCCAGCTATATTGTCATGAGTTCCTTAGCATCTCCAGGTAAATGCTTCCCAAAGTGGCAAGAGGCTGGACAGGGTTGCATAACAAGGGGTTGTATGATTTATATTCTTATCTAGGGACAGGATTTTTCCTCTGGCCTCTGCATCTGGAGCCCACCCAACCTCCTGTCCAGTGAGTACTGGGATCCTTTCCTGGGGGTAAATTGCAGCCAGGGCATGACACTGACCACTCACCCCTGTCTACTGCCAAGTAAGGGCTATGCATCTTCACCTCCCAAACCTACATGGCATGTAGCAGGATGGCTAAACTTTTTTTATATAACAGGATTATAAAATCAAAGAGGGGATGGGCAAAGCATGTAGCATGCACAGGAGAAGCATGTACAAAATTTTGTTGGAAAGCCTGAAGGTAAGGGACCATTCAGAAGATCTGAGCATAAATGGAAGGATATTAAAATGGATCTCAGGGAAATGGGATATAAACTGGCTTAGTAGTTCAGTAAAGAGATTGTTGGAAGACTTGTAAACCCAGCAGTGTAGCTGCAGGTTTCATAAAAATCAAAGATTTCTTGACTAGGCGAGTGATTTAACTTCTCAAAGAATATGCACCATGCCATCAAACACTTTTAAGATAAACTGCAATGCTAAGAAATCTTTTATCGTTGGCAGTGTGCAAATAGTGCATATACTAGAAAGAATAGAAGCGTTCAGGTCTGTGACCTGTTTTGTCACCATCTTGTCAGATACTTAAGGTTAACAAACCTTGTGATTTAGATTGCTGCTGAATATTCATCTTGTATATCACACCATTTTCCTCCTAATACTTGGATCAGTCTCCTTTGGTTCTTGAACATTACTTAACTAAATGTTGATTTTATCTGGATTTTTATCAAAATACTATTTTCTGAAAAAATAATTAATACAGAATATGTTTAATTCCATTTTGTTGTTACTAGTTCTATGAAATATTTTGCTTCGGCAGATCAGTAAAATTTACATCAGAATTTTATTTTCTAGCAATCACAAGTACCTTGCTATACTGATGGCAAAGTATATGACTACTACCACAGAATCACACAACTGGAACTCAAATACAAGGCTACTTTGCGGAAACTTCGAAAATGTGATCATGTAACAAAAGAAGGCACCTCACCTTCACTACCATATAAGCAGAAGGCAAATCGTTGTGTACCTGCTCAGTTACATAAAATCCACACTCCAGTACTAGATAAGCCAGAGAACAGGATAGTGACAGAGCAGCCCACCGTAACACAATGTGAAGCAGAGTTTATGGACAGACCTCTAGAGTTCCAGGCACTCAAAAGAGAGGAGATGCAAGAAACAAAGGAACCCAAGATAGACATCATCCATCCATTGGGAATAGATTACAGTTCATCAGATGAAGAGACACAACAGTAGCAGACATCATGTCACTTATTTGAAGTAAATATATAACTGATACAAGATTTAAAGGTCTAATAAAAATACAGCATCTGTATATATATATATATATTTATATAGAATATGAGTACAACCAAAGCCACCTGTAGTTCTGTATAATGGACTTTGGTTTTTATTCTATTTACAGAAAAGTCTTTCTTACAAATTCATTAAAGCATGGAATAATTATTCGTAACCATACAAGTGAACTGAAACAAGAAAATATAAGACAAAGAATAAACTGACTTCTGACTTCTATCAGATGCACTTCAGAACATTAAATGACTTGTTTCCACCCATTATTTACATACAAATGGAATTATTTGCAGCAGGATTCCAAACTTCTGGTACACCTGTTCTCGTTGCTTTGATAACAACTTATAACACAGACTCCTTCCACTATTTCATAATGAAACATAACTTCATCCTAGGGTTCAGTACACTGACTGCAGAACTGTCTTACAGACAATTTGTCTAGTGCCACAATTCAGAAACTGCATTTAAAATTATCTTGATACATTCTCTTGGGAACAAAATGTTGTATGGTAAATGCTTTGCAGATTTTAAAATGATAAGTCTTGCAGAAAAAGAATACCTGTCACATCTAATTTCATTATGATCCCTAAGCCAAGTGGCATATGAATCAAACTCAATATAATGGAGGGCTATTTATTGCTGGTCACCTTAAAAGACTGGGTATGGAAAATTCCCAATCAGACATATTTACAAATTAGCAGGACCACATTAGTTCATGTATGATACACAAGAAAGACAGAAGCCCTCCACTAAACTTCCATGTTGGCTGTAAGCAGAATTCAGTCCTTCCTGTAAAAGGATAATGACCACATGACTGGGAATAAAAATCATCCATGTTAAAATTATGTTATTACTGAAATTACATTTCACCAGCTAAAACATGGATTGGCAACGTTCTTGCAGAAACGAAGAATGGCCAAGATGTTAGGGTCTTTGTTATTACAACACAGTTCCCAAAATAGAGCAGACAGAAAACTTCTCATGTATAGGGTATGTACACAAATATACACGAAAATTTTTGTCCCCCCCCATTTATGCAACAGAACAGATATTATCACATGTCCATCTCACCCTGAGAACATGACTTCTGTCACTCATCCATGCCATCAGCTGTCAAATTAGTACTGCTTGCATCTCCAACAGCTGGGACGGTTAAGTTGCTAGAGTGCTCTTCCTCGTCCATATCCCGTTTCATATCCTCTATAGTTCCAGTAGGGTTCTTAGGATCTGAGGTGTGATTCTGTGCTGGTATAAAACTCTCTGTTCCTCCTGTCATGAGAGGTGGCAACTGCGGAGATGTTGCTGATGTCTGAAGGTTCTTCCGAGTTTTCTCTCCCTTGCGCCACAGTGTAATTTCCTAAGCAAGACCCATCATGCTTTCAGTGTTAAGGAAAATCATTATCCACTCCAGCTAAATTAGTATTAAAGATAAAGTAAGTGACAACTGAAAGAATAGCGAACATCACATGTTACAATGTACACTGTCTACCACTTGCGCAAATTACTTGTTACTCTTAAATTACACCCCTACCCTACTTAATATCAGTGGTTCAGTGATTGAGATTAGCTTGTTCTAACGGACCTCACAGAGTAAGTGCCCTTCCCCTTCACCACAAGTGAAGAACAGAGAAGATCCAGTCCTCAAAACATTGTGTAATTTTATAACACCAGATAATTGACAAAGTTCAAAAACCCAACAAACCAGATATAAAGTCATATCTCATCAGGCAAGGACTGACAATTACTTTAATTATAGATAATTCTTATCTTATACAAAATTAAGGAGGAAATTTTTCAAATTTACCTCTTTAATTATAAATCTTCAGGTCCCATAACAATTTTGCTGGCACAAAAATTAGTTTTCTCCCACCACTCATAAAACTTTGCAAGCACAATAGAACATGTTAAAATCACCCACAGAAATAAACACACATGAAGCTATTTTCACCTAGCATCATGCCCACCCATGTGGTGAATTACAGAAACGAAAACACTGAATAGAATATTTGGGTTCAGTGAGTTCCTGTCTGCATTAGTTATGCAGTGAGACAAGTTGTGGATTCAAAAGCTTCACACTTCTTGCATATAGCGAAAGAAAGTACAGCAACACACGTACTAAATGAAGAAATAGTTATGAGTGATTTTTCTGGTACTTCATGGCTGATTAACATTGCAAAAGTGATGAAGTCAAACATGTGATGGCAGCAAAAGTCATGTGATCTAACCGGAACCTCTGAATAAAGAGAAAACTTTCGGTAAAAAATTGGGTTTCGACTCTAAAGCACAGTCAGCCTCAAATGTTTTTTCATTCTATGAGACCTGGTTATGACCCTTCCACAGATAGCATGGTAAAAGGTTTCTCTTTCCCATGATGATGAGTTTTATGAATATTTTGTCCAACAATCTAATAACTATTCATCGCCCTGATGACGGAGGCAGTATGACCTCTGAAACGCTTAACATCAACCAGACTACACAGCGCAACAACCCAGAAGACGGAAATCTTCATACTCACCGCTGTGAAAACCTCAAATCTTACAATCTAATAACTAGCTTCTTTTTGTAAAAAAAGACAGGTCTGATGGAAATGTAAACTGTAAATACCCAGAAAAAGCTGGACTGAGCACTGTGTTGTTTTAAATGCAACAGGCAAGTACTTAAAAAAGTGGTCCCCAACGCGGTGCCTGCATTGTTACGGAAAGAGGTTATACTGAATAATGAAGGCCATTGAACCATGGACATTATAAAATCAAAGCACAGATCTCGACTTACTGACGCCCATCTTGATGATTGTTTGCGGGCAGCAACATCATCCTACACTCCAAATTTGAAAAACTGGCCAATGAAATGCAGCGCCAAACATCGCACTAACTTCCCACTTGAGTAATAATAATTGTACTAATAAAACTACGTATTTTTGATTGCATGGTTTCTTGTATCATTAAACGTTGTGTTGTTTTGCGTATTATTTGGTGTCGATATCTTATTTGTCCAGAGAAAAGAAAATTTGGCTTTGTTAATTGGTTGGTGCCCGCCACGATCTCATAAACTCTCAAATGTGCCCATAGGCACAAAAAGGTAGGGGACCACCGACTCAGAATAAGCAAGTGGGCCATGAAATCTTCTGTTAGCAAGATTAAGCAAGATGTCAACTTATATACCTGCTGTTTGAAATAGCGTCTGTCTTCATCATCCATTAGAACCAGATTCAGGTAGTACCGCACTGAGAATTTTTTGTTGATGTCTCTCATACTTGGAGTAAGGTCATACCCTGCCAGGAACACCCTAATAGGAATGCTCTCTCCACGCACTGGTGCTCCATCCATTATCTCATACTTGGCAATTGTCTCATTCTCTGTGAATGTGTTTGGTCCTGCAAGGTAAGCAATGAGTTAATAAAATGAAACCATTCAATAAAATTATTATCCAGCTGAACATTTATAGAACCATGAATACTCAAACTTGTAAATATTATGTTTCCAAAACAGGGAAAGACTTGTCAGTATTCTCTCTTTGCCAACACGACTTCAAATTTTACAGTAAAGAATGGAGAAGCTTGATTATTTTTTCTCCGTTAATAATTCATAAAACATTTTTAATTTTCTGTCACCACTCCATATTCAATTATTTGTGGTTTATTTAACAATGTAGTCTGTAGCTGAAACTTTAGGAATGAAAAATAGGATGATTCATGAATTGGAAAGGATATAAAAGGAAATGGCATATGGAATAACCTGGCATTTGCCCAAGAGAGAGAAAAAAAAGCCTGTCAGCATAGATGTTCTCTGGACCAGGATTTGAACCCAGGACCTCCTGAGTATAAAGCAAGAATGGTAACCATATGGTCACTACATTTGGCATCATCACTCCACATTAACTTTTTGTTGCAAGAGTGTACAACACATATTTATTTGAGACATGCATTATGTCAAATATGTTATTCAAAGAAATTTTCTTGCACATGGTCACACGATTAACTCAAGCTCCCTACAATCAAGTACTCAAAAACTTGAAAAATGTTCTAAAGAAGGAACCAGATCTTCTGCATGACCGTATTTGTTCTGGCAGGAACAATGCCAATCTTTACATGCCTACATAACGGAGTAATCAAAATGACTTCGAATAAAAGTTGTTGACCCCACAAATGAGGCCTGAGTAACTCATATAGACTGAATTTATGAAAACTAAGATAGTGTATTTACTGGAACAGGAGGTTAATGTCATTCAGAATAGACCCCTTCAGCACATATACACCTGCAACTGGACAATGTAATATGTATATAATGACTTAAATTTTGTATACGTGTGATTCAAGACATTTGTTACCTGATGAAAACACAGTAGTATTAAAATGTGTAGCCAATTGAGATTATATTCGCATATGAAAAAGTGAATATAACTGTTCTTGACTGAAAATGTAATTTATTTAATTATACACCTGTTCCACCATACCTGCCAGTGCTGGAAGCATGTCTCAAATTCAATTTTTGGAATAGCTAACAGTGGCTCCGTTGCATTCAATCGTTCCCACATCATCTAGTCTTTTATCTTCCACAGATTCTTTAAGTCTAGGGAACAAAAAGTTACAGTTATCTGGTGAGTAGCGGGGGGTGTTTAGCTAAAATTTGCAATAGAAGTAGGATTGTGCAGAGATAAATTTTCCATCTGCCAGGTCCCTTATTTTGCAGCCAAGTATGATTCACTGCATCAGTGATATCTCAACACATGTAAAGAGAAACTTTAGTTAACAGTCTGACCATGTGCAGCATACTCACGATACACAGTACCCTTAAATTCAATATAATTTGCATCAATCTGATTTTGCTACACACTTGCTGTGCTTTATTTATATTTATATATATATATATATATATATATATAAAAAGGTAAATATTTACATTGTGATGATTGCTGTTTAGTTTTGAGGTCAAACAATATACCCATGTTTCATGTTATATTTTTAAAAAGTTATTATCAGTATCTGCTGCATATTCAAATTATGTAAATTATACTGTCATTTATTTATTTGGTTAGCTACTAACGTGGCAATACAATAAAAACCAACCTGAGCCAGTTGTTTCACGTTTGATGATTGCAATCTCCATATTCTTAATTTTTATGCGAACCAACAGGAAGTATATTTTTCCCACAATTACATCCTTTAAATGATACCTGTAACATATTATACACAAATGTACTGAAGACGCTTCTACGCATTAAGGCATTTATATCAGGAAATATATCAAGCCATATCCATAAAAGCATAAAACTACAGATTTAGTGGTATTGAAATTCTGAATCTCAGAATAAATTTGAACAGAATATTGACCTCTGAAGCTGAATATCATCTAAACAATAGTTGCAAACTCAGCCCATACCACAAATAAAACACTTCACCATTACAAAGATCTTTTTTATGCTGTTTAAAGAAATAATCACTGTTTATACCGAGGATCATACTAAAACCATATATACAAATCCCTTAAAAGCACACATCAAGATTATATAATCTCTCCAATTATGACTATATGTAATCCTTTATTTATGTTTATATCTGCAAATAAAATGTATTATAAAACTACTTAACCTCTAAGCACAATCTGACATACTTAGTACGCCAGGTTTGTATGTCAGATTGCCTTGACAACATCAATGATGCCACTAACTGTGGGCACCCTTTGCACAGCTAATCTTAAGATATTCCATCGGTGTTTCGTATGAACTGAAAGACAAAATCCTAACTTTCTAGGCACTGAACAGGGAGACAAATATTCTCTGCTTAAAAGGGTTAAAATAATGAGTATTTTTCAATTATAAAATTTTAGTAGATGAAATTACTTTCCAGAATGCATTCTTCCATTTATAAATCAAGGAATGACTGTTGTATCCTGCTGGTTTAAAAAATTTGTTTAGTTCATGACATTATAAGTTCGAATAAATTATTTTTTGATTCTTAGAATATTTATGATGCATTTAAATCAAATATAGTTTATTTGTGAAAAAAACAGAATAATTAAAGGCTAGAAGCAGTTATGGCTGAAATGAACATATTATCTTGAGCCATTCAGAGCTGTAATAAATACAAAAATGCAGCTGGGATTTGAGCCATGTACCTGTAAAAATATAACGTGACTTTAATAAGCAATGTGACAGCATTTATTATGATTCAGCAATATCAACTGAGCTCTGAATTGTTTTAAGTGTGCAGACATGACAGGGATAAATCAGCATTTATATTATTTAGTATTCGTGCTACAGTCTAATTCTAGGCCCAGCCTCTTCTGATCACAAAACTTTCTGATATCCTAATCTGGCAGACAATGGCATGGAAACAATCAGAAAATTTCCATGTTTGAGTAGGAGTTGAACCCAAGATCTCCTGTATGTAGGCAGCTCAAGACCATGAGCATCTTAAGCTGAGCAACTGCAAGGATAAACATATCATTCCAAGATAGAAAAGGGCCTATATGGTCAGACCAAAATGTCCATACATATTTTTATCAAATAAACTCTTATATGAAGTAGCATGTGAAAGAAAACAAATGTCTTACTTGGACTTGTTGTACTCAAATTCTATATGAAGGCAGTCTTCTATGCCAACTTCCATCTTGATACTGTTATTCATGTCTGGATAACTTGATAGTGTGTGAACGATAATGTCCTCTTCCTTCACCACATCTGATAGCCTTCGTACAATTGTCACTCGCAAAAAGTACCTGCAAAGTACACCACCACACAACAGAATATACAGTTATGGGGTATAAATAATAATTACAGGAACATTATGTTATATACACTGTCTATTGTCTGATATATGTTTGATACACATGACGTTTCAGGAGTTGACTGTACTCTGATCTTCGGATGATTGTTTATCACAACAATGACACTGTTTCTTTCACTAGTCAATTAGTGTATGGACCTAGCATTCAAACAGTCCTGGGTTTGCTCCCAGAAAGTGTCAGTGTCACAACAACCAATCACCTATAGACGGGAGTAGAGTCAACTCCTCAACCATCGCGTATATCAAATATACCTCAGACAGTGGACAATGTTCCTCTAAGGACTCGATCACAAATAACAATATGTGGACAATTATGAACTGAAGGCTCTATTGCATACAGATATGAACAAAAAATTTAACAAAATAATGTCACATAAACTGTAGTTGTGGATGTATATTTCTGAACTGATACAAGAACACAATATGAAACAAAGTGTAATTTCAATTCTATTTAACCCCTACTGCAGTGGTCCCCAACCTTTTTGTGCCTACAGGCACATTTGAGAGTTTATGAGATCGTGGCGGGCACCAACCAATTAACGAAGCAAAATTTTGTTTTCTCTGCACAAATAAGATATGGACACCAAATAATACACAAAACAACATGACATTTAATGATACACTCAAAAATACGTAGTTTTATAAGTACAATTATTATTACTCAAGCGGGAAGTTAGTGTGATGTTTGGCACTGCATTTCATCGGCCAGTTTTTCAAATTTGGGAGTGTAGGATGATGTTGCTGCTCGCAAACAATCGTCAGGATGGGTGTCAGTAAGTCGAGATCTGCGCTTTGATTTTATAATGTTCGTGGTTGAATGGCCTTCATTATTCAGTATAACCTCTTTCCGTAACAACGCGGGCACCCAAAAAAAGTCTTGGTGGGTGCCATGGTGCCCGCGTTGGGGACCACTGCCCTACTGTGATCAATACATACATCCATATAAATCACTTCTTACCAAAGACAGTTTTTGGAAGCACCTGATCACTCTAATGTTCATACATTATCCTGGAAATGGATAGAGTAAATAAAAATCATCTAAGGAAAGTGATATTACAACCTGGAATGAAAAGATATGCTAGAATTGGTGAACTCACCGTAGTCTGACGTTTGATCCAGTGTATGACTCAAATGGTTTCTCCACATTCAGGAACTCAAAAGCATACAGTGTGTTCTGCATGAGTTCACCCGGCCTGGCCAGCTCTTTCACAAGAGATGTGAACTCATGATGATTTCCTCTATCATAATAGAGCTCTATTTGCCCTACAAATTCTATCTTTATACCCTGATGCTCCAGCTTTGAACCAGGTTTTTTCAGCGTTACATTTACCTACAATGTCAACAGAATCCTCATTTATCAAAGCCTTAATACATTCATGCAATGACTATAGCTGTTAGTTAGCATAACTATCATTATGATGCAGAATAATCCTTGGAGTACCTAAACCCTGGAACATCAAAAGCCCAAAAAATATTAAATTTCATTACCCAAAATTAATTACAAATATTAATATGTTCAAATTAATATTATGGTTTTCATTACTGGGTCTAAACCAAATAAGCCACAAATTAAATTACTTTAAAAAAGTTATGAAATCCTGTAAAGTACTGCTTTTATTCAGTAATTATGCTCTCTCAGGAAGAGGAACTTTGCTGCAGTTCCAGGCATCAAATAGGTGTAGGAGCTACACACCAGTAAGTTACTGAAACTTATTTTGGATATGAAATCAGTATAGTCGATACTAAATAAAATCTACGCGTGTAGATAAACCTCAACTTGTGTGCAACACGTTCACAGCAAGAAACATACTTTAGGAGTTGATACCAATGCTCTGGTACAATACTAACTAATATGTTGTATCCAAAAATGTACAAGTAAAATTAATACATTTTTATGCAGCATAATACTTAGATTAATTAAAAATTGAGAATTTGGAAAACAAGACATTCTCATGTCATACATTAATATAAATGGTCAAGTGAGTCAATGAGCACAAAAGCGGCACCAGACCTAGTGGTATTTCAGAAACTCCGTAGATTTAAACATAAAACTGTCATATTCTAATAGCATTCGGAAAAAGACATCTTTTTCCTACTTTATTTAGCTATTTCTGCTATGGTTTTGTAAAACTTATCGTGAATTTTTAATTTTCAAAGGAAAAGGAAAAATCAGTAAATAAATTTGCTCAAGAAAACCATGAAATTAATTATTAATGCTATTAAACATTTTGAATCTTCATTCATCTTCTCACAATGTTCCCACTAAAAAACAGATCAATAAATAAAAAGTCTTCACCAGCCTGCATTTCTTCTTTTACACCAGCAATACATCTCTCCTACTTATAATTATCACAAATTCTGAGCCCAGTGTTCACTCCACAGAAGAGGGATAATGTCAAGTAATGGACTGCATGTTGAAGTGATACATGGTACAAATAAAAGGAGAATACAAAAGGAAAAGAAATATAATTTATTTACATTCCATAAATCCTTCATAGGCCTAAGCCAAGGGTCATAGTACAAATACAGTACTAAGAAGGTTCAATAAAAACTGTGAAAATGACATCTAATGGGGCTACAGTGAAGCTACCCCAAGGCTAGGAAACTGACAAAATAATTTAATCAGCTTTCAACAAAATTAAAACTTCGGAACAAGGAAAGAATTACTCACTATACCAAAAATGTTCTTTATGGCAAATTACTGGCAATGTCAGTCATTTGTTCAAATCTGATTTATTGCATATTTTCTCCAATACTTCTCACATGTATAATTTCTTGTTTCACAAAATCCAAACAAAATTGACTTGTTTTAGCTGAAATATGCAACTTGCACATCACAACATTTTTAGATCTCTAAAGGAACACTTGACTGGTGTTTCACTGATGACTACCTGCTTCAACACTAGGATTTATTATTTTCCTTATCTTTGGTTCATTTAATGACTTTGCCAGTAGCTCAGACTATATAGTATTGAATGATACAACAAATTATTTGGTCAGGATATGAAAAAAAGCAGTCCTGGTCCATTTTCATTTGACTCTGTTCTTGTTTAACTTCAATTTATTCCCAACATTTCATTTTAATAATGTATGAATGTTGATACCCTAAATTATGTTTTTGTAACAGCTGAAAATGAGTGAAAAGTGTGGGGGTATACGTTTTGCAGAAAACAATTTAATAAATGAGAAAGAATAAAAGTGCATTAACCTTGTACTACATTAAAAACCAATGCATGCTGATAAACTTACCCCATGCAGCAGTAACATACAACATACCTACCAAAACGTATCTTTACGCCTTGGAAGCTGCAATAATTACATACCTTACCCGATACGGTTTCACCATCGTAATACAGAAAATGACGTTCCTTCTTCCCATCCTCAGACTTTATTTCAGCCATTTTTCTATTTTCTGTGCCATCGAGTACGATTTCAATGTCCGCACTTTGACCAAATCCGAAGAAACTCTGTAAAAAAAGATTCGTAAAAACATCTTATACTCGACTGTCCCTCATATAATAATGCTGCTTTCAGTGTTCAAATGCAGTTGTAGGTTATATATTCGTTTCACATATTCTTTTCACTTAATGTTACATGTAAGAAAATGTTCGTTTAGAATTACCATTATAGCGACGATATCGTTTATGGTACTTTTAACAATAACAAATCACAATGCAAGATTAACAATAAATAAATTTTCACACACTATTAAGAACTTCTATTTGCATTTTGTGGATATGTGCTCCACTCAGCTGAAAATAAGAACTTCGAACAATATGGCCGACAGACGTTTTAAATCTGCATTTCAAATTTACTCCGCTAGGTTAGCAGTCTCCACAGATTAAAAAATTTGTGCTTAATGTAACCACTGGTGCACATATTAAATTTGATACTATAGTATTTGTGGACTGATAAAAATAAACTTCAGAAACTAACAGTAGCTCATTTAGTCAAGAAATTCCCATGTACCGGATGCATGGGCCTTTAAGTCAGGTCGTAATTATTAAATCCCCCCATAGCATCTCTGCATTTGAATAATAATATACAGATGTTGCGTTAAAAAGCAAATATTTGTATTTTCATTATCGTCGTGGACTGGTAGCACACTACTAGTCAGACTCGAGCATTACCAACTGTGGGTCCCTGTGCCAAATGAATTCAGTTCACTTCCTCCAACCCTATTTCCCTAAGATCTGTTTTCATATAACTTTCTCATGTAGGTCTTCTGGATTGTCTCTTCTATTCATGCTTTCCAACCAAAATTTTGTACACATTTCTCTACTCTCCCATGCCCCACCCATTTCATCCTCCTGAATTTGTAACCCTGTTTCATGATGAGCACACATTATGGCATACCTACTTAAAGGCACAACTTATCCAGCACATACCAGGTTATTATGAATGGCAGACACCCAGGTTACTCTGTACAAATCAGAAAACTAAAGCTTATTTCTATGCCTTGATACCCTAAAATGGCTATTGATAGTAGTGAAAAATCATTATTTGATTATTAATATGTGATTGTTACTATTACATACTAAAATATTTGTTTTAGCAGCCAGACAAGGGTATTTTGCAAAATGACTTGAATTATTGTTGACTTCTCAGTGCTCTGAATTAAAATCTTACATTTGTTCTACAGTTCAAAAGTTCACATAAGCTAGCCCCCACCTCAATCACAGCCAACTCCAACTTGTTACATTTTTACCCCTCAGCTCAGGAAACTTATCGTCCCATGACAAATATTAATGATTATTTCTTGACACAATCTTCAGCCAGGTGTCCTAAGCAGAAATTTAGTCAAAGAATCTGAACCAGGGTCTTGTCCAGTTACAAGACAAAGTGAACACCAAGTGCTACCATAATAATATGCTTTTCTGTGAATAATGAACATTCACATGTGCAAATTAAGTATGTCTGACATTTGGGCTTTGCCTTATAATTTGTCCAACTTCTTTCTCTGTGGTGTTACAGTACAGTACATTATTAATAATACATAATTAATTTTTAAATATTTTGGTGCCACAGTAATGTTCCATTGAATTTAGAAACATTTGTGATAAGGGCCAGTAAATCAAAGATATAAAATTAGCCTTTTGAGTGTTTGGAAGGATAAGAGTGGACCACTCCAGTACAGGGATAACAAAGATGTATCACATCACATTTACATGTACAATTTATTCTTTAAAAAATGTTTGTAAGAGTCTGTTTCTATTATGTACATGTATAAAGAGGTCTATAATGTGTCATAATTGTGAATATACAGCATAGCTTAATAAACATATGCATTCCTTTATATAATTTTGCTCAAGTTTACCAACATAATATACAATAAATGATTTTAAGCAACATTCATTCCTATAATAAAATAAATCAATAATACTTTCTATAGACACTCTTTAACATAATTATAATTAAATTCAGTTCTTTACAATAATAATGATATTAACAGCAGCAGCAGCAGTGATGGTGGTGTTGGTGGTGGTAATAGCAGTAGTAGTAGTAGTAGTAGCAGGAGCAGTAGTTTTTATCAACCCAAAATTAAATAACACTCTCACAACCAAGCTGAACTATTTCCATTTTGCATTTTTAAGGAAAAGAACTCCATGGGTTATTAAATATGTATTCAAAATATATATTCATTTACATTCTTTACACATAATTGATATCTGTAAAATTTCTTCCAGGGATTAATGCTACTACTTATATGATTCCACTCTCTTCCCTTATAACAGCAATTTAATTTCTGATTAAATTTATATTCATTTAAGTGCACAAAAAAAAGAACATAAACTTACTAAACTTTCAAATCAATAGTGAGAGGCACATAAATAAAACCTTGATATTATGAATTACACAGGAATAAGAACCTCCATATAAAACAAGAAATCTAAGTTTTAGTAACACACTTGTATTTTGTTAAATACGTGTATTACTGTATATGTCTTCACAATGTGTGTGACCGAACTGAAAATAAACAACCAAAATAATCTTTATGGTATGCAAACAGGGGATTTATACCCCTATACTAAGGAGGTGCCAGCCAAATTTAACTCTGGTGTTAACGGTTTAGTGGTGTGCTACTGTGACACATGGTCAGCTGGAAGCTACAGCATGTGGATGAAAGTTAAGGAAACTCTTTCCATATAAAAGTTACTGCTAGCAACTGAAAGGTGTCAAGACCTCATTTATCAAACTTCGATGTGGCAAAGGGAAAAATATATAATAATTTTAGACAAACTGTAGATGCTACAAATTTTCAACGTAAAATCAGCGCAGTACATACCCACTTTCTGCCATCATTCAACATTTTACTTATACAAAAACTGTAGAAAGTACACAGTACACTGGTAAATTTTAGGACCCAACAGACAATGCATCAAAATTGATCAATCATATCAAAGAAAAATGTGCAAAACAAGAAATATAGTAAACAAAATTCACTGAATTTCAAGAACTGTCTTCAGGCATTTTAGACCCAATGACTAAGCAATATATCTAAAAAAAATATTTGTTTAAGTAAATTGAGAAACTTAATTAGCTGTACATCTAACAATTTTCATACGATTTTCTACAATGATATTTGCTTGCAGAATGTATTTTTTTGGAGGATTTGGTTAATATGTGCATAAAGATATTAAAATAAACATGGCAGTTACCTGGTGAATTCTGGTTCATTATGCAGTATGCTTCATATTCTGCAATAGCTAAACTCATAATGAAACAAATGACCAGTTGCAAAACTATTTCATTTTTTATTAAAAAGTTAACTCCACAAGTTATTTTAATGGCACATTGAATCCTTAATACCTGTATTACTACTTCCATGTTTTACATTTTGCCCTGTTAAGAAGCATTTACAGGTTACACTTTACATTGCAGGTATTTGAAAGTATTCAGATTTTGTGGAATGGATATTTGAAAAGGTGACCTCAGAAAGCATGTAATGAAACATTAATACACCCTGTGTTTCCGCCTGAGCAATTTTTTACAAAACAAAATGACCACTAGTCAGGCTTGATAATAGATCAAATTATACAGTATCTAGCACTTTTAAATATTCAATATGTAAAAGCAGGTTATTAAGGAAGTGTCATTAGTAAAAATCAGAAATATTAAAGTAAAGCAAAATGACAATAAAACAGATATTGAATTGATAGTCATTTTAAATTTACAAAATATTTTTCATTTCCTGACCCAACTCCCTGATTAATATGTGGTAATTAATATCCTTATTACAAAATTATTATTAATGATACCTTTATGCTTTATTTAATAAACAAATTAATTTCTGTCACACATTAGTGATTAGGTTAATGAAATCATAATTTTCAATGTGTTCCATAAAATAATTCTGAATATCTGCATTTAACCACATGCAACTCACGAGTTGTGTATCATCATCAATCAGTCTGTACTTCCAGCCACAAAAATGTGCAAACCATAAAGAAAACAGTTACAGAAATAATATTCATTTGACACCTAAAACTTAAGTTCTCAATAAAGAAGTAAAAGAAGAAGGCATTTAATTGCTTTGATTTAACAGAAAATACAAGAAAATGTTATCTAGTATAAGAACAAATATTTTTCTTTTGGACAAGTTTTCCTCCCACATCTGTCAACTACAAATGGCAAACACCATTAATTTGCTAAGAACAGCATAACCGTTCAAAAAGAGTTTTTGTATTTACAGAGAAGTTAGTTGTACACCAGTCTGTAAAGTTAAGGTACAAGAAATTGAAATTAGCAAGGTTTTACTGAAACTGCAAAGCTATGTAATTATAAAACCCAGAAGAAATTCTGTGATCACCCAATATATAAGCATTTTTCCACACACACACACAACACATCATGAAAACTAAAGGAAATTCTGCATGCTATGCCAGACCATTTCATCAGCTTTTCACTTCACCTTTAACTACAACTACTCCCAGTCTTCAGCATCCATCTCAAGTTGACATATAATTTTGAAAATTTGGTAAAATAAACTCTTTTAACTACACATTTTCTGAAGTTGACATTTAATTTTGAAAATTTGGTAAAATAAACTCTTTTAACTACACATTTTCCGAAGTTGACATATAATTTTGAAAATTTGGTAAAATAAACTCTTGTACCTACACCTTTTTTTAAGTTGACATATAATTTTGAAAATTTGGTACAATAAACTCTTTTAATTACACATTTTCCGTGTGCCAAAATACTGGCATGACCCTGTATTACACTCAGAACACCTCTCAATTCACTTTAATTATAACACTAAACATTTGTTATCCTGTAGACTTTTTGAGACAGATATGCATTCAAAATTTAACAGAGACTGATAAAATACTTTCTGTTGTCCGTCTTCTCTTTCACATACAGTTGTAACAGAAAAGCTCAAATAACATCATCGTGATAGAACATGGAAGTAATGTTTTGGTTGTGAACGTGTTAGTTCTATAGAGTTTCAAGAAATGTGAATGAAATCGACAAAAGAGAAAACCACTAAATTAACTTTTCCAGCTCATTGGCACCAGTACATGATTGAGATCAATGACTATGAAATTTATATCTTCTATCCAAAGTGACAAAGGAAGCTAGCTAAGTTACGTGTTGTCTATAGATATAAACTTCACTAAAAAAATTAAATCGCTCATATTCTTTGCTGTTTACAGTAATATACTTTCCTCACTCTGGCAGAATTAACCAACATTCCTTGGTTTGAGATAAAATATTATTCGCTGTAAAATCACTTATATAAAGTATCATAAGACATCCTCCATTTTCGCATACATTTTCAACTCACTGTATAAATTTTAGGGATTTCTCCCATAATGTCCACTATATTACCCCATATGAGGCACACAGTTTGGCACAATTGCGCACTTTGCGTTACTTATCTTTTTATTCTGTTCTCTCATTTGTGGTGTCTCTTCACAGAGGAGGTGTGAAAGACCGTTGTTGCTCCTGCTGCTGTGATTGGTACCTTTGGTGACTACGTCTAATATTCCGCCAATTTCTGTTCCGGTGCAAACGCTGGTTTTGTGACTGTGGTAACTGTTGCTCCCATGTGGGAGCATTGTTTCCATAGAACATCCTCAGATCTGTGTCCGAACCATTGCTGTTACCTTCGTCAAGGTCCTCAAACCTTGGGGTATTTGGGCAGTAGTTAAGTGGTAATGGAGCAGGACCAAGGATTCCAGGTGCATTTCTTGGGTTCCTAGGAAGTCTCGGATCATATGAAAGTGCTGGTGGCAAGGATGGAAGAAGAGCTGGCATGCCAGTAACATGCAACAAGCTCATAGGGTTTGGGGGCATTATTTCAGAATACACCGGCGTTGCTTCCTGCAATCGGGTACATGAAGAAGAATGGGGAATCACTGCACTGGTGCGGCGCCGTGGATCACTCCTTGCTGCAGCAGATGGTGATTGCTTAGGGGGAAGTAATGGTGGTGGAGGAGGTGGTGGTGGTGGTGGCGGCGGTGGCGGAGGTGGAGATGCAGGACTGTCCACAGAACTAACAGACACCTTGAACAGCCTACGTAATCTTGGATCATTCCGAACCTATAAAACACATAATCTCCGCTCATTAGACTGGACAGAAAACAAAGAACTGAGATGCACAGCTTTCTGACTGTGACTTTTTCATTCAAAGCAACAAATTCTAGTGGTTTCAATATTCAATAAATTTCTTCCTTACCTGTGGGTCTGATGTATTCAGTTTCAACCCCGAGTAGTCAGGCCGCGGTATTGTGATCGCCACAACCTTGTAAGGGATGGGTGGATGGCTTGTTAGTGATGCATCTATTTCTGTCGCAGGTGTATGCATAGGTACAGGCTTAAATGGAAGACCTAGCATTCCTCTCAAGTCCACATCACCACTCGTCCCTCTAAGGTCAGTGTCACCATAACTATAGGGTGAAGATGAACCTCTCACAAGTATGTTCTGTCTTAAATCCACATCTGTCCCAGACTCAAATCCAGTGCTTGGCTGTTGCTGTTTACTGTGAAAACCTCTCAAATCAACATCACTCCCACCCTCCAACTGACCGTGCGTGATACTCGTAGACGCAGCGTTTGACGACGTTATGGCAGAACTATAGATACTAGTGCGACGTAAATCATTTTTCTCTTCCGAAGAGTCTGCCCGTTTAGAAGTTCGAGGGTCATGACGTGAGTTGTCATATGTGCTCGGAGACAACACAGATACAGGAGTAGTGTTGGAACTTCTATTACGTGGGTCACGTGACACGAGCCGTGGATCTCTGGCTTGGGATGGTGGCGCCACTGCAAGAGATGACTGTGTTGTCCTGAAGAGAGCGAGCAGTGAATTCAAGTTAAGTATTGTATGACAAATAACATAACCGGGGAATTTTTGTAATATTGCATACCTATATCAATAAATTAATTTTACTAATTTTCCCCACAGTCTATTTATGGGTTTTGTATGATTCTCACTGTAAACAGGATTTAAATATTTTTTAGAAGTGAGCTTCAGTTTCAAAGGGTTAAATACCAAATATTTAGTTACATACCGTGAGTCACTGTTTTCTGCAGTTTGTGTCACACTGGCTGCACTGGTACTCTGCTGGTTTCGGATGCTCGACAGTAATTTGCTGACAGACTCACTGATGTCAATAGCAGATAGTTTGATACTATCAAAAGGTGGAGTGGTGGTGGTAGGAGGAAGGGGTGGAGTCGTACTGGCTTCCGGGGGAGAAGCTGACTGCTGTTGCTGCAACCAAACAAAATTTAGAAATTAGTAGGATTTGGGGCTTTCGTGGCGAAGAGTCTGAAGATGGCTGTCTTCTGGGTTGTAGCACCATGTAGTCTGGTAGAAGTTTACCTCCATTACTTTCCTCCATCATCAGAACAATCATCACCCTGATAATGGAGGCAGCAAAGACCCATAAACATTGGTAAGCTCAATACTTATACTGGTTTATATTATTAACCTTTTCTAAATATGTCATGTGTAAAACTGTTATGTACAGTGTAACTATGTACAGGTTGATCATTCTATCTGTGAACCTATGGTGTTGCCATCTGTATTTTCTAAGTGTGTTGTACTGTATTATATCTACTTGTTCCACGTCCTGAGTATCAGGATCCATGTAATCCATCCATCCATTCACCTGAAGACTGTGTTATTAACTTGCCACATATTGGTAACTACCAAAGCTATTCTTAGTGTAGTGTATTAACTTCGATGAAAAGGGGCAAAAATCACAAAGTTACGGACAATAAAGATATTACCAAAATTTCTAGCATGATCATTATATCCCAATTCTGAGACTTACATTACAAATAATCAGATCTGTAACAAGGCATGTAAATGTATGAAAATTTATACAAATCTGTTAATAAATAAAGGAACCATTTTTTCTGATATAAAATTGTAATTTTCACATAAAACAGTAGTCCATGTCTTCAACATACACTAAAATTAATACTGGTTAATAAACTTCAATGACTCCCCACCTAATGGTACCTGCACCTTGTCGTGGCTGGCGGTAGCATAGCTACTGGTAGGGCCTCCCTAGCCAGATTGGTCGAGGGGGAAAGGTACCCTGGTCCTCCAGGTTGGGGGTTGGTCGCAAGGCTAACAACCTTGCACCATAAAAAGTAAGATATTTTGAAACCTCAATCAAAGCCTCAGACAGACGGACCTAACAGAGGACTGAACGGAAGAGGAGAATTGAGGAGGCCATGGACCGAATAGTGCTGGTGGCAAGGATGGAAGAAGAGCTGGCATGCCAGTAACATGCAACAAGCTCATAGGGTTTGGGGGCATTATTTCAGAATACACCGGCGTTGCTTCCTGCAATCGGGTACATGAAGAAGAATGGGGAATCACTGCACTGGTGCGGCGCCGTGGATCACTCCTTGCTGCAGCAGATGGTGATTGCTTAGGGGGAAGTAATGGTGGTGGAGGAGGTGGTGGTGGTGGTGGCGGCGGTGGCGGAGGTGGAGATGCAGGACTGTCCACAGAACTAACAGACACCTTGAACAGCCTACGTAATCTTGGATCATTCCGAACCTATAAAACACATAATCTCCGCTCATTAGACTGGACAGAAAACAAAGAACTGAGATGCACAGCTTTCTGACTGTGACTTTTTCATTCAAAGCAACAAATTCTAGTGGTTTCAATATTCAATAAATTTCTTCCTTACCTGTGGGTCTGATGTATTCAGTTTCAACCCCGAGTAGTCAGGCCGCGGTATTGTGATCGCCACAACCTTGTAAGGGATGGGTGGATGGCTTGTTAGTGATGCATCTATTTCTGTCGCAGGTGTATGCATAGGTACAGGCTTAAATGGAAGACCTAGCATTCCTCTCAAGTCCACATCACCACTCGTCCCTCTAAGGTCAGTGTCACCATAACTATAGGGTGAAGATGAACCTCTCACAAGTATGTTCTGTCTTAAATCCACATCTGTCCCAGACTCAAATCCAGTGCTTGGCTGTTGCTGTTTACTGTGAAAACCTCTCAAATCAACATCACTCCCACCCTCCAACTGACCGTGCGTGATACTCGTAGACGCAGCGTTTGACGACGTTATGGCAGAACTATAGATACTAGTGCGACGTAAATCATTTTTCTCTTCCGAAGAGTCTGCCCGTTTAGAAGTTCGAGGGTCATGACGTGAGTTGTCATATGTGCTCGGAGACAACACAGATACAGGAGTAGTGTTGGAACTTCTATTACGTGGGTCACGTGACACGAGCCGTGGATCTCTGGCTTGGGATGGTGGCGCCACTGCAAGAGATGACTGTGTTGTCCTGAAGAGAGCGAGCAGTGAATTCAAGTTAAGTATTGTATGACAAATAACATAACCGGGGAATTTTTGTAATATTGCATACCTATATCAATAAATTAATTTTACTAATTTTCCCCACAGTCTATTTATGGGTTTTGTATGATTCTCACTGTAAACAGGATTTAAATATTTTTTAGAAGTGAGCTTCAGTTTCAAAGGGTTAAATACCAAATATTTAGTTACATACCGTGAGTCACTGTTTTCTGCAGTTTGTGTCACACTGGCTGCACTGGTACTCTGCTGGTTTCGGATGCTCGACAGTAATTTGCTGACAGACTCACTGATGTCAATAGCAGATAGTTTGATACTATCAAAAGGTGGAGTGGTGGTGGTAGGAGGAAGGGGTGGAGTCGTACTGGCTTCCGGGGGAGAAGCTGACTGCTGTTGCTGCAACCAAACAAAATTTAGAAATTAGTAGGATTTGGGGCTTTCGTGGCGAAGAGTCTGAAGATGGCTGTCTTCTGGGTTGTAGCACCATGTAGTCTGGTAGAAGTTTACCTCCATTACTTTCCTCCATCATCAGAACAATCATCACCCTGATAATGGAGGCAGCAAAGACCCATAAACATTGGTAAGCTCAATACTTATACTGGTTTATATTATTAACCTTTTCTAAATATGTCATGTGTAAAACTGTTATGTACAGTGTAACTATGTACAGGTTGATCATTCTATCTGTGAACCTATGGTGTTGCCATCTGTATTTTCTAAGTGTGTTGTACTGTATTATATCTACTTGTTCCACGTCCTGAGTATCAGGATCCATGTAATCCATCCATCCATTCACCTGAAGACTGTGTTATTAACTTGCCACATATTGGTAACTACCAAAGCTATTCTTAGTGTAGTGTATTAACTTCGATGAAAAGGGGCAAAAATCACAAAGTTACGGACAATAAAGATATTACCAAAATTTCTAGCATGATCATTATATCCCAATTCTGAGACTTACATTACAAATAATCAGATCTGTAACAAGGCATGTAAATGTATGAAAATTTATACAAATCTGTTAATAAATAAAGGAACCATTTTTTCTGATATAAAATTGTAATTTTCACATAAAACAGTAGTCCATGTCTTCAACATACACTAAAATTAATACTGGTTAATAAACTTCAATGACTCCCCACCTAATGGTACCTGCACCTTGTCGTGGCTGGCGGTAGCATAGCTACTGGTAGGGCCTCCCTAGCCAGATTGGTCGAGGGGGAAAGGTACCCTGGTCCTCCAGGTTGGGGGTTGGTCGCAAGGCTAACAACCTTGCACCATAAAAAGTAAGATATTTTGAAACCTCAATCAAAGCCTCAGACAGACGGACCTAACAGAGGACTGAACGGAAGAGGAGAATTGAGGAGGCCATGGACCGAATACGGACCGGAGAGCCATGGAAGAAGAAGAAACTTCAATGACTGCCAATACTATGTTCTATTAATCCAGAGCGAAGGTTCTTCATAACAGGCAGTCAAAATTAGTCATCTCTTCTTCATTTTTAATAATAATGCTCTTATCACATTTGAAATAAATTCGCACTGTTCATTCAACCGTGCTCCTAGTTGGTTTGATTTCTTGGATCTTTCTGAATTGAAAGAAGCAGTCATCATCCCCAAGTAAGCAAAATGTATGGGCTGACCATAATGCGCATGATTCTGAGCCATGTGACATTAGAGTACCTGCTTGGAAAGGTTCCTGAGAACATCTGCCAGACTTGCCTCCTCCTCATCACTCGAGTACCACTTCTCTTCTTGCTGTTGTTCAACATTCTCATCTTTGCCATCTTCCTCTCCACTCTGGTCCTGACTGCTTGAGTCTGCAGCCTCACGTTGCTGTTGCTGGATTCTCAAAAACAGCTCTCGCTGCTTCTTTGGTAGGTTATGTGGAAGCCCCCCTGTCTCTGTGCCACAGTTGCTGTTGTGATCTGCACATATTCAAATTTCAATAATACCCGAGTTTTCAGATTCTCACAGTGATGAGTATGAAAATGGTTGTCTTCTTATTTATTGCATCGTGTAGTCTAGCAGAAGTTAACTGATGTTTCAGACGTGCTTGCTGCCTTAATCATCATGGTGATGACCACTGCACAGCACAACAACCCAGAAGACAGCCATTTTCTACAATATTTGTTTAATTAAAGATATCAGACTTTTATAATATACAAGGCAATACAAATAATATAACTATGTTTAATAGGCATTCTTCAATTGCTCACCTGCGTCAAGTTGCTCTTTCTTGTTGTTCTCTTGTACAACTGTGGAAGACAATGGCGGAGTACCATCACCATCTTCATTGTCATCCTCTTCACACTGGTCATCTATCTCTAGCTTTCCTTCATCATCTGCCAACTCCACCGATTCCACAGTAATTGCTTTACCGTCCTGCGCTCGAGAAGGCAACGCCCGATCATCGGCATCTGTTACGGGCGCTGGTGAGTAACTGTCAGAAGCACACAATGAATGTCTAAAACAATTTTAACACCATTATTCATTCATTCATTCATCTATTTATACATTTGTTTCTTGTTTATTTATGTAACATCATAATGTGCTGAAACTGCATTCCACTAAAAACGTTAAAATATATTTTTACAACTGTTTTAGTCATTATATATATATTTATTTTGTGTTTTTCAAAGTGCAGGATGGTTTATCATCCTGTAAAGAAATCAGTGGGCATCATTCAGATCTAGTACACATCTACACTAACTAATTTTCAAAAATGCATATTTTAAACATTTCTTGCTTATGCCACGAGTTTTGTGTATGTGCTCGACAAAACTTTCCGTAAAGATTTCCAAACACTTTTTTATATGTATTTCTTGTACCTACCATGTGCGTTACATGTGGGTTCAATAAAATCCTTTCAATAATACTGGATAAAATGGATAAAGTGTTAAGCTACTTGCTATATAATCTTCCACCCCATCCTCTCATTTACAATTTTCCATTCAGCATTTCTTTCTTACATACCCTCAACATCTCCCAAATTTAGGACCAAGTTTCACACCCACGCAATTATGGTCACTACAAAAGTTCATAGAAATATGGGTTCAGAAGCTCCTTTTCACATCTTGGATAAATGATATCTGGCATTAACCTTCCACCAGTGTCTCTGTCCCTTCATTTTTGCGCCGTCTTCAACATGCTCACTAATCTGGAGTTTCTTTATAGTGTGACGTGTCGCCATGAGTGCCGCGGACTCGCGCTGGAGGGGAGGGGCCGCCTGACTTCCAGGCTGCCTGGTCTGGATCTTTCAACATCTTGGGGGGGGGGGGTTTATAAACAAAGTCACACTCCTGGGCGCAGCCGAGTGTGACCTAGCGAGTTGTGTGTGAGCCGCCGGAGGGCACGGTGGCAGCAAGACAGCGAAGTGTTGAGCGTGTGAAAAGTTTTTGTCAGATAGTATTCAAGTTAGCAGACTCCAAACAGCAAGGGTTGACAATAAAGGGCATAAGAACCAACCTACGTCACAATAGTTTAATCCCTTGTTAACATATCTGAACATTTTGATTACACCCTTAATTAGCACAACAAATGTCTAAAAAAAAGTTCAAAATTTACATTCCCTGAACTTACCCTGCAAGATAATGGAGGTTCAGCTTGCTCCTTACACCAGCCTGTTGTTCGCCGTCAGTCGTCGTCTTATTTTTGCTACGACGATGACGGTGACGATGTTGGTGTCGTACTCCTACACTACCACCGGCGTCATCTGCATTACTCAATGTTTCCTGGTAGAAGCGCATCTTCAACTGCTGCAGTTGTTCTGAGAAATCTCGGTCCTCGTAGTTAGGAATAGTCCTAGGTGCCACGAAAGATTACGTATCACTAAACTTGGGGTACATAAGAAATTTTTAGTTCCTTAAGTTCTTTCAGTTATAATCCATCTCCAGCAGCACTGTGAAACTGCAAAGAGCTATCCATCTTGGACTTCCTCTAAAAATCTGTTTAATCATTAAGCTCGACCGGGGAATTTACATTATTTCTGAATTTAAGACACCTGGCATTATCGTTATTGTAAAATCGCAGTATTCTCAGAAATTAACTTCTTTAAAAGATTAAGAATAAAGAATTAAACCTCACCTTCTTGACAACTCCCGCTCTTCACTAGGTTCTCTGTTCACATCTGTCCCTCCATGAAATAACCTAGGGTGCCGAAGTTCATCACCCGAGTCTCCAGGGACACCATTATCAACATCCCAATGATGATTACTAGCTCTACCAGAGAAGTCCTTAGCTAAGTTGTGCGTTTCCATTTTGGGAGACGATGGCATTGGTGTCCGACATCCATCCTGATCTGTTCCAAGGAGATACAAATTTATTTCTAATTCAGGTACATTATAATTTCCATGTAACCAAAAAGGGTGCATAACCTAAGATATCAGTAACATAAGTGAAATATGAGACTAATAAAGTTAAAAATGTAAAATGGTACATACGTAACCTAAAAAATTAATTCTGAATTTCAAGACCCAAGATTATTTATTGTATCCTACATTTATATCTTTAAATTTTTAAACAAATAATAAATATACATTTGAAAAAAGTTCTAATAAAAATCCAAATTAAAAAATTTTCATAAAGAAATGTAACCTAGAAGCATATCAAGATTTGTGAGATTCTGTAACAACGTTAAGAGAGTAAGTTTTAACTTGTATATGTTTTTGTGTGAATGATCATTCTGCCGTTTCATAAACAGAACTTTGGGGAAAGTACAGCATTTTAAAAGTCTGGAGTAGGTTCAAAATTAAACTTCACTTGCACAATGTTTCCCTCCTTAGAGTACAGTTTTTTGGTCACAGATCCATAAGACTTATGTACCTTCATTGTCCGACTCAGGCATCGGTGTGGTCCGTCTAACAGGCGACCTCTCCTCTTCCCCGTGCATATTCGCTGCGAGAAGTTGAGCTGGTATGGGGACTTCAATCTCAAACAGAGATGGAATCTTCTTGTTTCCTGGTAACGCCCCTTTGTTACCGCGGTTCTTTTTATTATACACCATTGCAGCTGCACCCTCACGACTCAAGCGAGGAAAATCCCCAAGAATCTCTTTGGGTGCAGTCTCCAGATGCTGCAACACAATATTTCAAATATAAAGATTACAGATTTCAGCCAAACAACAGCTGTTATATACTCAGAACCAGACTGAAAATTAAAATGACTATAAATAACAAGTAAAATAATCATCTGTATGCAGATACATGTCTGAATAAAAATTATAAAATGGTGGATGCAAACAATACATATATAACCATCTTGTTTAATTTAGGAGTTAATCAGTAACAATGATTAGAGCAGTGGTCCCTAACGCGGTGCCCGCGGGCTCCATGACACCCGCCAAGGCTTTTTTTGGGTGCCCGCGTTGTTACGGAAAGAGGTTATACTGAATAATGAAGGCCGTTCAACCATGAACATTATACAATCAAAGCGCAGATCTCGACTTACTGATGCCCATCTTGATGATTGTTTGCGAGCAGCAACATCATCCTACACTCCCAAATTTGAAAAACTGGCTGATGAAATGCAGCGCCAAACATCACGCTAACTTCCCACTTGAGTAATAATAATTGTACTTATAAAATTACGTATTTTTGATTGCATGGTTTCTTGTATCATTAAACGTCATGTTGTTTTGCGTATTATTTGGTGTCCATATCTTATTTGTGCAGAGAAAAGAAAATTTGGCTTTGTTAATTGGTTGGTGCCCGCCACGATCTCATAAACTCTCAAATGTGTCTGTAGGCACAAAAAGATTGGGGACCACTGGATTAGAGAGTAAGTAAGAGGCATGTAAACTCCATATGGAAACATATAATGAGAGAAAATACAAAAACTCTTGCAGCCTTACAGATAAATATATTAAACTGTTCATCTACAGAAGACAACCTCCAAAAAATTATAGGTAGAACAAAGAACGAGTACGACTTGGTACTTCAGAGCATGCTATCACTACTGAAACCCAACTAACTTATAACCAAACAACAATTATCGTCACTGTGAAAATTTACTCACCTTCAGCAGAACAGCTTTCAGCGTCTCCGTGAGCGTACCATGGCTGAACTTACATCGTTCACCAGCGAAACACTTAAGACCAGTGTGGTAGAACTTGCATGGGAAATCAGAATGCATGTACAAACACTTGTCTTTCTTAGCACAGCAATCCATAAGATAGAATTTGCACAACTCCATTTTTCGAGGAGGCAGGGCATCATGAGAATACGGACATTCATCACCCTGCAGACAAGAATTGTATGTAGCTAGAATTTCAAATTATAACATAATCAGATTTACGCACATTTATAAAATCATATATGGTGAATTATATAGTATCAACATCAGAGATTATGCCGTATCAAACGTGAAATGGTAGGCTATATATGAACAATAAATAGGGCTAAAGAAATTATTGAAGCCAGGTTGGTCGAGGGGGAGAAGTCTGACTAAGACAGGTACCCTGGTCCTCCAGGTTGAGGGTCGGTCTCAAGGCCAACAACCTCGCACCGTAAAAAGGAAGATGTTTCGAAACCTCGATGAAAGCCTCCGACAGACGGACCTAACAGAGGACCGAACGAAAGAATAGAATTGAGGAGGCCGTGGACCGAATACGGACCGGAGAGCCATAGAAGAAGAAGACAGTACTATCCTCGCTAAGACCCTAACCAGGCACCCACTGAACACAGCATTAAGTCAATCCTGCTCAGCTTACTAAAGTAACACATTAAAGTACTAACTAACGCACACCTTCTGGCATTTCCCTTGCATGTAAAACATACATATGGAGTCAGGACCCTGCCTTGGGTCTTGCATTAGCATGGCTGTCCTCTGCTGCTGCCGTTTGTTGCCAATCCTTTTTGCCTTGCTACCTGCCGCCTCCTTACGCCCACTTTGCTGCCGCTTGTTCTGAAGGCCTCTGCCACCTCCACGGCCTTGCTGTCGCCGCTTTGCTCCGCGACCACCTCTTTTGGGACCTTCTTCATCTCCGCGGCAAGGCCGTACAAAATCTTCCCTTTCATAGTCTGAGTCATCACAATATGAATCATAAGGATCTTCAAAAGGTCCACCTGAAAATAACGAAATATATTAACTTCATTAAAGTCCCTTAGATACAATTTCAAAGGCACATTAATGTATCAAAGTACTGACACACATCACATAAAAGAAAGCAAAGCAGAGACTAACTCACCTGATTCCATATAACCAAATGGTTCATCATGGTAACCGTGAGTGGGAGGGCTATACCCACTGTGCATGATCGGTGATGCACCCCGAACAAACAACATTTCATCATCATCTTCCTCATCATGGTCACTCGCGGCAACCTGCCCCACATCCGCAGCCTGTTCCATCACACCCTCCTTTGAAGAGCCGTGACTCCGTTTCCGTTTCTGTAACGCGCCACGAGGAGTCATTCTTTGTATCATAACATCAATACTACCACCGGGTAAAACCCATTTGCGGTTAATAATAAATAATAATAATAATAATAATAAAATACATTCTAGGTAAAACAACTTCACCATAAAGTAGCTCGTCATGTAACGCAACATCAAACTACACCCGGTGCAGTCAGGACATATCCAAAGACAGATTAGAAGCTTCTCATTTCCCTTCCCTCGTAAATTCCAAACAAGTTACATAAATATGTAATCAACCTTATTCTTGTAAACCCGCGACAAATGTAACTGTACAACTATTCACAGTTCACCCACGTCTCATTTTCATTCCACATATTACAAGTTACTGGTTCCTGACTCTGTTCATTTTGGTTGATAATTGCCCTAACAACCTTCTCGAAGGTATCACCACCTTGTCGAAGGCAATCTGCCGGGTGAGGAGGCTTGCGTGCTCAAATGACCCTTAGGGCTATGCCGGCCGGAGCTTCGGCTCGTGGTAGGGTCACCCAAGCCGGACAGGTCTAAGGAGATGCGCCAGAGTAAGAGTGATACCCTGGTCCTCCAGGTTGGGGGTTGGGCGTAAGGCTCACAACCTTTCACCATAAAAAAAAGCATTGTTACGAACACGACCAAGCCTCGGACCAGGACGGACTCTTTGGCACGACCATGGCAAGAGATGGGCGGGACATGTAGCGCACATGGATGGGACACCTTCCAGATTCCAGTCTTAAACCATGCCGCCCCACTGCTGTCATTTCCTGCATACTTCCCAAGTCTATTCAAATTTCATATCATAATATGAATGAAGTTTCCTCTCTTATATTTGCAAACATTCTGAAGTTCTACATCAATGCATATACGTCTCTCTCTATCTCTCTCGTTCATTAGTATTTTTATATTAATATCATACATATCCTACCGACACTATGTAAACTTCTACCAGACTACATGGTGCAATAACCCAGAAGACGGCCATCGTCAAGTAATTAGTTACTTCATTAACTAGTTGATGGAATGCAACGACAATACATTTTATCATATTTTTTTTTAAGTTTACCTTGGCTTCCTTCCTATCATCATCATCTTCCCGGTGCTTCTTTTTCCTCTTTTTTCGTCGAAACTTTCTTTCATCATCATCTTCAGCTTTCACTATATCACCGCCATTTGCTTTTTTTTCTGAATGTAATTCATGTCCACTATCCGTACTTGTCATCACTGCCTTTATAGCTTTTTCAACATCACCCGCCCAGTCATCATCCGCTACATTCTCTTTCGAACGATCAACGTGTCTATGATTTACCGCACTGCCAGTGCGACTTGTAACTGATCGTTTCAATTTTGAAGATGGAACCTGACGTTTCTCTGCAGTTACTGTAGTGTCATCTTGTACAGGTAACAATCTAGGTCCACCGTTTGGTGGAGCTGATGATCTGTCAGCTTCATTGTCCACAACTGCCTCTCCACCGCTTGCCATCTCTTCATCAGGTATCTCACCATCTTCAATTTCTCCATCTTCTAGATCACCAGCCATCATGCTGGACAGAAATACATAACCATAAATCTAGAGATTCATCACTTTCAGATCAACACCAACAACAAAACTTGTGCTAATCTGAACATATTAGACAATAAAACAACTGAAAAAGTAAAAACAACCAATTTCTTGGCATACAAATTGACAACAACTTAAATTGGAAAACACATATCCCCAAACTAATTTACAGATATTTTGCTATAAGGGCATTAAAGACTTCAAAACTTTAAAATTAGTCTACTTTCCTTACATCCATTCCATGATGTCATAAGGAACAACATTCTGAGAAAATTCAAAAAACAAAACAAAATTATTTTATGTCTAAAAGAAAATCATTAGAATAATGGCAGGCATTAAAAGGGGGGGGGGGTCTCTTCTAGAGAACTATTTAAGAAGTTCAATATTCTCCGACTAGTCAGCAAATTCTTATTATCATTGTTGTGGATAAGAAGAAAAATTTTCAAACAAACTCAGATGTACACAATACAAATAGAAGATGCAGACATAACCTACAAAAGCCAAACACTAACCTCATCAAATATCAAAAAACAGTTTACTACGCTTCATTTAAATTATTCAACATAAAAACTTTAAATCAGACATAAAAATTGTTTAGCCCAGCAATTAAAGAGAATCTCTTATCCCACTCCTACACAGCAGAAGAATTTACTTAATTATTATAAATACACATAATATTGGTGCTGGAGGATATTTGGGCCTTCGAGATGAAAAGTATGGGGCATGGAGAAAACTGCATAATGACGAGCTTAAAAATCTGTACTCCTCCCCCAAAATTGTCAGGGTGATTAAGTCGAGAAGAATGAGATGGGCGTGGCATGTAGCGTGCATTGGGCAAGAGGTGTGCACCTGGTATTGGTTGGCAAACCTGAAGGGAAGAGACTGCTGGGGAGACCTAGACGTAGATGGGAGGATAATCTCAGGCGGGATCTATGGGAGATAGGAGTTGAAGGCGACTGGATTTTGGTGGCCCAGGACAGGGTCCGGTGGAGGGCTTTGGTTAATTCGGTGATGAACCTTCGGGTTCAGTAAGCCATCGAGTTAGTTCGTTTTTGGTGTTGATTCCTTGGTGTAATTACTTCACTGTAACACTGTATTATATCAGATATGTCTGTAAATATCTGCTAAAACTTTGTATTTAATCTACAGTATCGTTTTTCTATGACATATCCTTGGGTTAGGCCCAATGAATGATCTATGGAACGTAAATTCTGTTCAATCTACTGCATCTGTTGATCTTACACAGAACTACAGTGATGCTGTATTTTCTACGATACATACAATTACGTCAAAATGAAACAATAAAACTTAAAATTTCCGATAAATACAGGAGCAGAGTTCACGTTAACCATGTAAGCCTAGCTAGAACTCTGAACAATGAAAAATCAGTCTTCTGTCCACTTTCATTGTTCTGCAGTGATACATACATCAGAACCAACCAGGAAAAACGCGCTATTAGCCAGGCACGGTTAACAAGCACGTTTCACGCCAGATTCTGTTGCAATTCGCAACGCTGCAAGTGAAAACTTGTACTTCTAATGTAAGACTGCTGAACGCCGCACAGCGGACGGCATCTCTACCGCTCAGCAACCAGGGCATCAGCCGTTCTACGGCGCTCAGGCCACCGGTAAAATTCGCCAGTTACTTCCATCCCCTAGTGCAATTTGTCTGACAAACGCACATTATGCATATTAGTTACTTCTCAATGTCCGTTTACCTGTGCTTTTTTTTTACAAATTTATTTATATTCATCGCCGTGAGAATATGAAATCTTAATAATTTATTTACCGTCTCTTCCTAATGTAAATTACTGACAAAAACAAATTTGATAACAGGCTTATATTCTGAATGGGAGACCATAAAAACAGAAATGTTTATATAAGTCTTTTGAAAACATTTATTTTTAATGGTAAAGAAACACGTAAGCATTAATTTAGATGCTGAGCGTTTACAAACCAGGTACAGTGGTAGATTCTACCTTTAAATCCAACTTACAATTACAGTACATTCCCGATTATCCGATGGCGGATTAACCAAGGTCAACCTGGTTTAAACGAAAATTAAAAATCAATTTAGAAACTATTCTAAAAGTCAGAACGTTCAATAAGAAAGGAATTAACAAAACAATGACATATTATTTACGGTATTGCCACAAATCACCTGAAGTTTATGAAAATTGAACGTTATTACTATCTGTCGGAATCCTTTTTAATTAATGGTAGATATGCATTGTATTAAATTGCACATAAAATCCTTTCTGTTATTACTAAAACTTTAAAAATTGAAACACCACACGTCTGAAAATAAACTTCCGTATTTTTTTTTTACATTCGTGTGTTTTTCTTCAATTTTTTCGTATTATCTGGGGGTCTCCAGTATCCTGAAAAATTTATCTTCTAACCAACCCTGATAATAGGGAGTCTACTGTACATTCGGCAGTCGGCACGGCAAATGGCCGTGGAATGCTTTACACAATCTCGATATCAGCTTTAAGTGAACTGAAAGGAACACGAAATTGTCGATCCCTGCAGATGTTCGAGCTGGATTTTTTCCTAAAACCCGGCGAACATGATGCCACTACATTGTAAGATTCCGCAGTGGGGCATTCAGTCTCACAACGACAGACCTGGTTTAGGTGACTATAAAAATAAATACGAATCTATCACATGGACAATTCCATTCAACAACCTCAAGAATGCCCTAGTTCTTATGGAGCGAGAAAGTATGGATTTCCTCCAGGACAAACTCACACTTTACAACCAAGAAGCTAATAATCGCTCAGCTAGCCAAGAAAACTTCTCGCCCTTTGTTGAAACAAAGTTTATCGCCCTGTTCACTTCAGCCTGCCACAGGTCCCTATTCTGAGCCACATGAATTAAGTTTACACCTTCTCATCATCCTTCCTTCAGATCCATTTTAATATTATCCTCACATATTTTGAGCCGACATTGATTTATGCATTTCCTGTCTCCCGAGGTAAGTGGGTCCCTTGTCATCACGACATGACAAGTCTACAAGTTAAGGAAAGAGAGTAAAGTCACGGACAGCCAACAAGGGGTAGTCCTCCACCTAAATTCCAATTGCGAATGCTCAATATGGGCGACAAAACGGCCTCTGGAATTAAAACGCCAAAAATGGATAATTATTATTTTAAATAAAAATGTTTGACATTTCTGGATTTTGCGAGTAGACGGGTTACCGTTCTTGGGGAAACCCGTCACTGCTCTACCGGTCTGTAAACTAGAAGCCTTGTTTAGATGGGGCGGAAGGGGTACTTCAGTTAATGCCGACAGCAAACAGCGACCCTGGATTCAATTTATTTACCTCCCCAACAGAATACTTTGATACGATTTCAGAAATACTCTGTAAAAAAAACTAGGTCCACTTGGGAAACAATGAAGACATTTTAAGTGGACGTGGCCGTGTTATTCCAATAACGCTCTCAACAACGAAAAATTAAAAGCCTTGTCTTACTTTCCTAACTCAGTGACATTCCACACACGGAAACACAGCAGAACCGATCAGATAAAACGCATTGTTAGCCACCTCCAGCCAGCCAGGACATCAACAATGAACCTCTTAGACATTACATTGTTAAATTAAAAACTACACCTATGTGCAACATTAATGGTAACATTTGGTTGCAGTATAAGAAAAGATTCCTGAATTTTAAAGTTTTAGTGCAACACGATTAATAATCCCCCACCCCACCCCCACCCCCGACGACGATAATTTTAAGTGTACGGAGACAAATAATCGAGCAGCTGCTTGTACGTTATAAACCTTGTTTCACAATCGAAAATCGTGCATTATCTTTGTAATCACGTACACATTGTTCGAAAATTACTACAACGGTTAACAAAGTAAAACCAGAGCTTCAATTGCAGTTCACAGACTCTCTAAGCAGATTCGTGCACACGACTTCAAAGTGGAGCATGAGCGGTTTCTACTCCATCAGTAGCCTCACATAAAATCGCTAAGCAAATAACCCAGATCTTTCATCTTCCATGTCAAAAGAACTGTCACAGTCACGTGATTCTACCTAAGAGTCAAACTAACATACACAATAGAAAGGCAAACATTTTTTGGACAACCTTTGTTAGGAAATTAAATTTGGTCTCGGTGTGCTCACTACTACGCGATTCAAGACGTAAAACTTTCCAAAGTGGAGGAATCATTTTAACTAACTTTCCCAACAATATTTGTGCATCAGCTTACTAGTGAAATAATTCATATTTCACGCATTAAAGGAAAAAAGACATGATTCACATTGTTCTTATGGCGTACAAAAGAATATCTTGAGAGACAGCGAGCGGTGGCATCATTAAAGGTAACACGACTCTCGAATGAAGAAATATCGAAATATCGCTATCGACTGAAATAGAACAAATATCGCTTTCGACAAAAATTCCTATTCAACTTCCGTGTTTATCACCAGAACTACAACAGCTGTTTCCTACCGACGTTCAAAAACATTCAACACCTCGTCATTTCGTCGCATCCGGGTTAAAACAACGCACGACGGTATGCGAATTTGAAAATAATATCGCTTTGACTCGCCCCGTCGCGTTCGATTGAAGACGCGACGATTAGGTCGACGACATCGGACGCCAGCTGGGTTTCAAATCTGGGCCAGGAGACCGGTGTCCTTGACTGCGCTTTTCCGTAGTCCGTCCAGGCAAATGACGGACGACATGCACCTTACATCGGCGAGTTTTGAAGATTCTTACTGCCTCCATCATCAGGGTGTTGATGGAGACAGTAAGCACCTATGAAAAGTCAATCAATTTCTACACGAGACTTCACAGTCATTTTCATAAATTAAGTTAGGCCACGATCGCTTCTATATCCTTTCCAATTCGTTAATCAACCTATCATTCGACGCCAAACAGTCTTAGTTACTGACAGCGTCGTTATATAAAACAAATAATAAGAGACATCAGTTACAATCGCTTACCACGGAAGCCTACGAAAAATAATTAA